CTTATTTAAGTTGAAGAAGAAGAGAGGGGAAAAAGTGAACTGGAACGCATTAAAAATGCATCAAAAACATGTCAAATAAGCAACGGAACGTATTAAAAACACATCAAAGATGCACATGCAGAACTGCGTTCACAATGCATCTGGACTGCGTTTTTATGGTGTGAACCGACCCTTAATGTTTATGGAGCACCAGCTATTATATGTGTTATATCTCCCTTGAACAGGTTGATTGCTAATGTACAACACAAGTACTGGGGGTGGACATCAAGAAAAATAGGACAAGGAGGAAAAGAAGCTGAATTTGGACAGTGAAAGTGAGCCTAACATTTCCTAAAAAGTTTGTACGGTAACAAAGGATGCTGACGTTGTTCAGGCACCTTACCAGGACTAGTTAATACTTATTGGGCAGCAGCAGAGTAGTCCTTGTGCAGTGGTTCCAACAAATAAATCAGAGTCCTGACCTCCACTTCTATATCAATCTGCCTGGGCATGTAATTGTCAGGAACCGGGGCACAAATAGTTTCAGCGGAGTAATTCTTGTGCTGCGGTTCCTGGCAAATACATGCCCTGGCAGAATGACATAGACGAGGAGACAAGGACTTTAATTTAACTCGGGACTTGGGAGCCACTGCACAAGGATTGCTCCAGTGCTGTGTGATAAGCATTAACTAATTCTGTTCCATCCTCAGCCCCTAGCTGCTGCCCAATAAACACTAGTCCTGTTTCTTCCCTCGGCCCCCAGCTCCCAAAGTTCGGTCTGAATAATGTGTTCGGGTTTCAAGCAGACTGAAATCCAGATGCATGATTTAAAATGACTAAAAACCTGGACAGGTGGCAACCCTAGTCGCGATCCTATGATCCAGTGGGCACAGCGGAGCAAGGTGCTCAATACCCGGCTGGGGCATCATGTGACTGCTATGATCAATAATACTGATCACATGATTACAATGTAAGCAAAATGTCATGAACGGCTTTCATTCATAACATTTTGAATACTATTGTGATGCTGTGATTGGTCACATGGTACCTGTCAATCACAGCACCCTGTACCATGTGATCACTTGTGCCCAATCACAGCAGCACAATTAAGTAAAATGTCATGAATGAAAGCAATTCATGACAGCTAAAACTATTGCTTACAACCATGATCACTACTGTTATAAGCAACAATAGTGTAAAAAAAAATCCCTAATCATCCCCCAGAGTAGTACAGGGTCACTATTGTGAAAAATAGTAAAAAAAAATGTTAAACTATGTAAAATGTTTAAGAAATTGAATCAAAAATATGTATTTATTTATATAAAATATGTCACTAGTCAGTATCCCTGATCACCACCACACCAGTCATATGATGACACTGTAATGCGCTGGTGACAGTAGCAAAAAAACAAATAAATTTAATTTATTTACATTTTCAATTTTATTTACTTTTAATTAATTCTCAAAAAAACTTCAAAACAACTTCAAAAGCAACTTAAACTCGACATGCCACTTACTAAATACTTTGCGCCATCTACTTTTCTAAAAAGGGGTCTTTTGGGGGTATTTGCATTGTCTTGGCATTTTAGATCCTCAAGAAATGAGATAGACAATCAATAATAAAGAGATTTAAAGGATGCGTTCACCTTTCATAACATGCTACATGTTACACCCATATTCACCGGCCCCTGCACCCCTGCTTTGACAGCTAGTGGGGGATCTTCTCCCCCCTCGCTAGCTGTCAAATTTAAAAAAAAACATGTCTGTGCAGGGCTCCACCTGGCCGCATTACTTATTCACTGTGCTCTGTGAATGAGAAACTACAAGTCCCTACACCTGGCTATCTGCTTGTAGTTCTCAATGAACTACTACAGTGCTGTGGAGCACCATGGTAGTCCATTGAGTCTTCCTGTCGGTATGGCTGCTTGCCCATTATTCCTGTACAGGCAAGCAGATATACTGACAGATCTGCAGGAGACCTGCATGGCACCGGTGATCTGCTGATTGCTAGTGCAATGCTTCCCAGGCTCCTGCAACTAAAAATAATAAATGTGTTTTTTCACCTGCAAAAAAAATTGCATTTATTATTTTTTCTGTAAAGGTGAACTTATCCTTTAAGAAACAGAGAGCCATATATACAGTCCAAGAATTAAAGATTGGCTTCACATGATCACTTCAGGCAGGTAAGCAATGTAGCACAGCTGATTCTGCTACTTTAGGTGCCCAACATAGTTAGCAATAGCTGAATTAGAAACCCCAGGAACCAAAATGGACTTCCCCCACTTTTGGGTTGTGCCAACCTCACTTCCAGTGCGACACAATATGGGAAATGGCAACGGGACATGATGTAGTAGGGACCAGAAAGGACACTCATCTGCACTACTGTGTGAAAATTTTAGGCAGGTGTGAAAAAGTACTGTATTTTATTTTAATCAATTAACAAAATGGAAAGTAAATGATCAGAAAGAGAAATCCAAATAAAATGAATATTTGGTGTGACTACCCTTTGCCTTCAAAACATCATCAGTTCTCTAGGTAAAATGGGTATCTTTATAGTGCCGCGCTCCTGTTTGTGTATCTATAAATCTATATCCAATTTGTTCTCATTCTGATTGGTAAATAACTAAATAAATCAAATATAAATCATTGTGATGAGTGATAGTCCATAGACTGATATAACTGAATAATTACCAATATATTATTAGTACATACATCAAAAAACCTTAAGTACATGTGGTGGATGATAATCAATAGTGAATAAATAAATGAATTATAATATACATATGGGTGTAATTAGTGCCACTCTAAATTATATGTGATCAATCAAACCCTAATTGTGCAAAAAAACATATTTGAATGTGCACGTGCATTAGTTCATAAACAAATAAAGTCTTTAGAAAGTGCAAAAGTGCAGGTGGTTCCTTATTTCCAGGTGTCTTGTGGTCTCCCTATGTGCTCACCTTTATATTTGCCTGAATAAATTCAGGCAAATAGACTTTTTGATCCTTCCAGGATCGGTGGGTTAGTATTCATGTATTAGATATTCCAAGGTGTAGATATAGGTGCTCCTGTTCTCTCCTCCTTCTTCTTATTCAGCTGCTCATACACCGATAATAAGACCAGCTCTATCTCCTAATTCCCCTCCAGGGGTCACCTCCTTCTCATATCCGCCTTCCACCAATGTGGAGTTTAAGGGTCAGATGTGGAATAAAAGAAAAGAGACCATGGTGTCTTATCCTTTTAGAATATTGAGATTTATTTCTGCCTGTAGTGGTATTACACAGCAATATGCGGTTCCTTGGTGGTCCAGGGCAGCATAGATATCACAGTCAACAGTAAGTAATCCTCTACCACTGCTCTCCCTCCTCGCCTGCCTCTGTCTGCGCTGGAATCGCCGAGCCTCTCGATACAACGTCGTGACGTTAGAGCCCCTCCCCTACGCGTATCGTCACAGGGTCACGTGACTTCATCAGGGGGAAATGATTGGATGCCACTGTTAGGAATGGACTGGCCAGCAATGGTGGGACTCACCTGCCTTTTGATCTGCAGTACCAGGGCTGGCCAGCGGGTGCTCCCAGCAATCAGAGACTCAACCTTTCAGCCAGCTAACACCTGGAACTGATGATGCTGGGGTATTTAAGGGATGGCCAGACCCACAGACTCTGCCTTGGTGTTGTGTTTGTCCTGGGCCCTGTATCTGTCCTGCATCCTGTTTCTGTCCCCTCTGCACTACGCTGCTTGTTACCTGTTTTGATCTCTGGCTTGTGACCCTGACCATCCCTCTGCCTGACCCTCTGTACTACGCTGCCCGCTACCTGCTGAACCTGGCCTGTGACCCCGACCATTCTCTGCTTGCTCCCCCTGTACCTACCTGCCCAATTGATATTGACCCGGCCTGCCTGACGACGCTTGCTTGTATGTACTGTTATCTGTGGGTGGTTTGGTTTGGTTTGTTTGCACTGTATTATGTTTAGTATTGCACTGCGTTTATGTTTGTATGGTTAGTGTTAATAAATTGTATTGTTTATCACATATCTGAAGTCTGCGTTTCCCTGCATCAGTCACACACCTCTGGTCATACCTGGGAGCCCTGACATTACACCAAGGCCAATCCTGACCAGAAGTGGCTGCACAGGGAAGCCATCTTGGCTTGTTGATGGGAAGGATGCATCTTGATGAGGTTGAATATTTATATCTGCTAGTGTTTGATGACAGGGAGTATGCTTATCAAACTCTGAAGGAGTATACCCGGGATGAACTGCTAGAATGTATACGGCTCGCTCATGTTCTAGTAGATCAGGGCACAGAGTTCTCTGAGGTGCAGCCTTTGATTGAGGTTTGTGCAGAGTTGGTTTCATCTGGTACCCCCGAATGCAGGGATGAATTTTTGCCACCATTTAGTGCAGACCAGGTAGAGTCCCTGGTGTGGTTATTAGAGGATGATGTGGGTTACTTTCTGGAGCGTTATTCCACATGTTCACCACAGACACTAAGAGATTGTATAAACGCAGTACAGTCATTGACCAGACAGGCTTTGTGTAAGCTCAGCTTTGTTCAACCCATACTGCAGACATGGACAGATTTGTTGCACCCAGCCTCAGTCAGCTTACAAAGACCCAGTCCTGCTTCTAATCTATTTCCTCAAAACTCTATTCCTGCATTCCCAACAGCTCCTCCTGCCCTGCTATCTACCGCATGTCAGTACCCTGTTCCCACTCGCTGCACCTATCCTGCCTTTAACCCTGTAAAAGAGCCCTCTGTAGCAACCGCTCCCTCTCCTGTTCCATCCTCCAGTTCTTCTCTGTCTCCAGCTGCTCCATTCGTTTGCAGACCTGCGTTTACTTGCAGTGCTCCAGTAGTTAAAACCAGAAAAAAGCGAAAATTCTTTCCAACCAATACCATCCTGCCAGTATCCAAACCGGTGAGCCTGCCTTCCGTGGTTCAGCCTGAAGCCTCTACTCGGCCTGAAGCCTCTCTTCGGCCTGAAGCCTCTCTTCGGCCTGAAGCCTCTACTCGGCCTGATGCCTCTACTCGGCCTGAAGCCTCTACTCGGCCTGAAGCCTCTACTCGGCCTGAAGCCTCTACTCGGCCGGACGCCGGCATTCAGCCTGATGCCTCTCTACCCAGCATGATGAACTGATCCAGCCTGACGATCCTATTAGGCCAGTTGACTCGATGCCCGCTGTTGATCCAGATGATCCGGTACCTGATCCGGTGCCCGCTGTCGAGCCAAATGACCTGATGCCTGGTGACCCAGTGCCCGCTGTCATACCTGGTGACCCGATGCCCGCTGTCAAGCCAGACAATCCGGTACCTGATGACCCGGTGCTCACTGTCGTGCCTGTTGACTCGGAGCCCACTGCCTTTGCCAGATGACGCGGTGCCCACTGTCGAGCCAAATGACCTGATGCCTGGTGACCCAGTGCCCGCTATCCAGCCAGACGATCCAATGTCTGACCCAGTGCCCGCGGTCATACCCGTTGACTCGGAGCCCACTGCCTTGCCAGATGACGCGGTGCCCGCTGTCGAGCCAAATGACCTGATGCCTGGTGACCCGATGCCCGCTGTCCAGCCAGACGATCCAATGTCTGACCCAGTGCCAGCGGTCATCCCAGTTGACTCGGAGCCCACGGGTTGTGCCTGGTGACTCGGTCCCCGCCCGCCGCCCCGCCTGGGGCCCTGAGACCTGTCGTTCCGCCTGGGGGTCCCGGCGCCCGCCCGCCCTCCGCCAGGGGCCGAGACCTGTCGCTCCGCCTGGGGGTCCGGCGCCCGCCGCTCCGCTTGAGGGCCCGAGACCTGTCGCTCCTCCTGGGGGTCCGGCGCCCGCCGCTCCGCCTGAGGGCCCGAGACCTGTCGCTCCGCCTGGGGGTCCGGCGCCCGCCGCTCCGCCTGAGGGCCCGAGACCTGTCGCTCCGCCTGGGGGTCCGGCGCCCGCCGCTCCGCCTGAGGGCCCGAGACCTGTCGCTCCGCCTGGGCGGTCCCGCCTGAGGGCCCGAGACCTGTCGCTCCGCCTGGGGGTCCGGCGCCCGCCGCTCCGCCTGAGGGCCCGAGACCTGTCGCTCCGCCTGGGGGTCCGGCGCCCGCCGCTCCGCCTGAGGGCCCGAGACCTGTCGCTCCGCCTGGGGGTCCGGCGCCCGCCGCTCCGCCTGGTAATCCGATGTGCCTCTGCCCGGAGTCCTGCCCGATGTGCCTCTGCCCGGAGTCCTGCCCGATGTGCCTCTGCCGGAGTCCTGCCCGATGTGCCTCTGCCCGGAGTCCTGCCCGATGTGCCTCTGCCCGGAGTCCTGCCCGATGTGCCTCTGCCCGGAGTCCTGCCCGATGTGCCTCTGCCCGGAGTCCTGCCCGATGTGCCTCTGCCCGGAGTCCTGCCCGATGTGCCTCTGCCCGATGTGCCTCTGCCCGATGTGCCTCTGCCCGGTGTGCCTCTGCCCGATGTGCCTCTGCCCGGTGTGCCTCTGCCCGGAGTCCAGCCCGGTGTGCCGCTGCCCGGAGTCCTGCCCGGTGTGCCAGTCTTTGTTATCCCGCCAGTTACCAGACCCGGGCGGTGGAACATTTTGCCCAGCTAGGACTGTTTGGAGCGTCCTGAGGCCGCTCCTTGGGGGGGGGGGGGGTACTGTTAGGAATGGACTGGCCAGCAATGGTGGGACTCACCTGCCTTTTGATCTGCAGTACCAGGGCTGGCCAGCGGGTGCTCCCAGCAATCAGAGACTCAACCTTTCAGCCAGCTAACACCTGGAACTGATGATGCTGGGGTATTTAAGGGATGGCCAGACCCACAGACTCTGCCTTGGTGTTGTGTTTGTCCTGGGCCCTGTATCTGTCCTGCATCCTGTTTCTGTCCCTCTGCCTGACCCTCTGTACTACGCTGCTTGTTACCTGTTTTGATCTCTGGCTTGTGACCCTGACCATCCCTCTGCCTGACCCTCTGTACTACGCTGCTTGCTACCTGCTGAACCTGGCCTGTGACCCCGACCATTCTCTGCTTGCTCCCCCTGTACCTACCTGCCCAATTGATATTGACCCGGCCTGCCTGACGACGCTTGCTTGTATGTACTGTTATCTGTGGGTGGTTTGGTTTGGTTTGTTTGCACTGTATTATGTTTAGTATTGCACTGCGTTTATGTTTGTATGGTTAGTGTTAATAAAATTGTATTGTTTATCACATATCTGAAGTCTGCGTTTCCCTGCATCAGTCACACACCTCTGGTCATACCTGGGAGCCCTGACAGCCACGACTTGCTAATGCCCATATATATATCACACGGCCGCCATCTTAATGAAGCCCACATGGGCGCGGCCATTTTCCAAGTGATTTTATTTGCTATAGCTGCAACCCAGTGTCTACCCATTTGTATCCACTTGAGTGCAGGAAAAAAGATCTGACTGTCAGACGTTGTCGGGTCAGCTGTGTTCCATCTCGCCTATTGTAACTAATATTACTTTATATATTGCTGTGCATATATCTTTCTGCAGGCTAACATTATAAATATCACTATCTTTATTACATTACAAACCATAAAAACCACAATTTATTATACAATAAAATAAAAAATATATAAAATTAGTATTGGTGTATATGCAATTATTGCATCAAACCTTAGACTGTCATTTATTAGCCATCCTACTCTGTTATTATTTATATACCTCTTGTATTAATCTCGACCTATTCAAGCTTTATTATTTTGCACCATATCTTATGCTAAACTATTTTGGATTGTGAGTATATTATACTTATATATAAAATATCTAAAACAATTAAAAATTATTTAAGAATTATTTAAAATATAAAATTAAAAAAAAACCTAAAAATGCGACGGTAAAATAAATGCGACCCTTAACCTATGCTTATTTGATGGGCCTCAGACCAAATAATATACCATCTGCGTCTTCATGCTTATTTATTACTGATGAAACATGCCAGATCAAATTCTTTATTTAACCCATTAGGAGCTAAACACCCCATTTCATATATCCACTTAGATTCCTTCTTACTAATTTCTCTTGTCAGGTTATCTCCTCTCCAGTGTTGTACATGTTTTTCTACGCCCCAGAACTCTAAAAATCTTGCATCTTTATTATGGTATTTTTTAAAATGCTGTGATAAATGATGGTATTTGTACCCTCTATTGATATTATATACATGTTCTTTTATTCTTTCTCTTAGCATTCTTTTTGTACGACCAATATAAATCAAGTTACACGGGCATTTTAAGGCATATATGACCCCTCTTGTGTCACATGATATAAATTGCTTGATACTAAACTCTTTTCCACTAATGGGGTTCTGAAATGTAAATCTTCTCCTGGGGTTATTTACCACTCTAGTACAACTGTAGCATCTGCCACAAGTGTAAAACCCCTTTCCCTGGAAAAAACTAAGTTGTTGATTTTTAATGGGTGGTTCTAGTATGTTTTTGACCACATTGTCTCTAATGTTGGGAGCTTTTTTATATATGAACCTTGGTATTTCCGGAATATTATTCTTCAGGTGTTTGTCTAGTGTTAGAATTTTCCAGTGTTTCTTTATTATATTTTGCACTAATTTGTACTGTGTATTATATTGTAGTACTACTGATAGTTCCTCCTTTTCATTATTCTCTTTCTGTTTATCTACTACCAACTAATTACGGTCCATGAACCCTACTTTCTCCCTTTCTTCTTGTATGGTTTCTTTTTTATACCCTTTATTTATAAATCTTTCCGATAGTATTCCACTTTGTTCTACATAGTCCTTCATTTTAGTGCAGTTCCTTTTCAGTCTAATAAACTGGCCTCTGGGGATATTTGTTAGCCACGCTTTGTGATGGCAGCTGTCTATAGGGATGTATGCATTTCTGTCTACTGATTTAAAATAATTTTTTGTACATAGTTGTATTCCTTCTTTGAAAATCTGAATATCCAAAAAGTTTATAAAGCTATCGTGTATATCACAACTCAATTTTATATTTGCTTCATTTCTGTTTAAGTCATCATAGAATTTAATCAATTCTTCTTTTTCTCCATTCCATATGACCAATAGGTCATCTATGTACCTTTTGTATATTATAATTTCCATTTGCATATTCTGAAACACACTTTCCTCTTCCCATTTCGCCATATATATGATTATTAGCAATGCTAGGGGCGAATTTAGCGCCCATAGCTACTCCTCTACTTTGGGAATAATATGCATTACCATACCAAAAGTAATTATGAGTAAGACAGAATTTTAAACATTTTAAAATGAATTTTTTTATGTTTATTTGGGATATTTCCATATTTATTGAGCGCCCATTTAGCTGCTTCTATGGCTCCCTGGTGATCTATGTTGGTGTATAAAGCTGCTACATCTGCTGAGCTCAAAAGCGTGTTGTTTATCTGTATATCCTTTTATTTCTTGTATTACATGCTTTGTATCCCTTAAGTATGCCCTGGTTTTATTTACCAGTGGTTGCAGATAATTATCTACATATTCACCCAGTCTCGCTGTAAGTGAATCTATTCCATTTATTATGGGTCTACCTGGCGGATTAGTACTATTTTTGTGAATTTTGGGAACTGAGTACATGATTGGTAGTCTACATACTGATGGTATTAGGTTTATTCATATTCTTTCTCATTTATCACTCCCTTCTTTTTCCCATATGAAACCAACTTTATTAATTCTTTCTTATATTCCTTAGTGGGATTGCTTATCAGCACTTCGTATGTTTCTTTATCATTGAGCATTTCTGTCATTATTAATTCGTAATATGCCTTAGATTGTATCACTATTCCCCTCCCTTATCTGCTGGACGCACTACAATATCATTCCTCTTTCTTAACCGCTTGCCACCCTGCCACTGTGTATATACGTGTGCAGGGCGGCAGTGGAGCGCAAAACCACGTTTAAAAACGGGTTCCACGCTCCCGACACTTTCGCCGGCAGGGGGCGCGCGCGCGCGCTCCAGCCGACCCGCGGGTGACACTATTTGATCCAGGAGGGATCAATCATTAGATTTCAGCCAGTGATTTCTGGCTGAAATCACATGATCGGTCCCTGTCCTATCCTGTCCTGTGTTGACATACACAGGGCAGGATATGATGTCATTCTTCTCTGCCTGGACACATTCCGTTCCAGACAGAGAAGAAGACATCCAAAAAGTGAGTACACAAGCACTACACTACAGTTAGAACACTCTAGGACACATTTAACCCCCTGATCGCCCCCCCCCCCCCAGTTAACCCTTCACTGCCCTGTCACCAGTGTTACTGATCAGTGAAGCGATTTTTACTGATCAGTGTCGCTGGCGACTTCCGATAGAGTTAGCGCCCCTCCAGATAGCGCCAGATTTTTGCCCGCCAGTACACCAGTAATCCTGTTTAACCCCTTGATCGCCCCCCCCCTCCAGTTAACCCCTTCACTGCCCTGTCACCAGTGTCACTGATCAGTGAACCGATTTTTACTGATCACTGTATCAGTGTCGCTGGCGACTTCCGATAGTGTTAGCGCCCCTCCCAGATAGCGCCAGATTGCCCGCTAGTACACCAGTAATCCCATTTAACCCCTTAATCTCCCCCCCCCAGTTAACCCATTCACTGCCCTGTCACCAGTGTCATTGATTACAGTGAACAGATTTTTACTGATCACTGTATTAGTGTCACTGGTGACTTCCGATAGTGTTAGCG